GAGCCGCGCGAGAGACCACACACACAAGCGATAGCATGATTCCCGTCCTTCCCCACAGCCGCTGCATTGCTGCCGCTGCATTGCCATGATGTGGTCCAACATGTACACACACACACACACACACACACACACCACACACACAACACACACACACACACGCACACACACACGTCGCCTCCCGTGGGGGAATGTGTCACACGGCTGCCAACGTGTGAGTGGATAGATGTGAGAGTGCATCCGAGCATCACTCATGCGTGTCATATTTTGCCCTTCCCCCATCCTCCAGCTCTTCCGCTTCTTACTCCCCTCTTTCCCTCCACGCATGCTCGTGTACCGCCGTACATGCACGGCACAAGCTTACAATTTACAATCATGTATCCTTACGTGTGTGTATGTGTATATTCGTACCTTCCGCTCTCTACAGGTGGGTGGCAGCAAGATGGCCAAGTGGTACCGGTCCATCCGCGTGTTGCCTGATTTGGAACCGCTGGGCGAGTGGCTGGAGCGCCACGGCATGCCAGTTACCAAGGGACCCGCAAGACGCAGCAGCAAGCGTGCGGCAGCGGACAGCGGCGATGAGCCATCCCCCATGGGTACAGCACCGGGACAGGCTGAAGCTGCCGCCGCCGCCGCCTCTGCCGCCACACGCGGCAGCTCCGACGCAGATGACCCCCTCCTTGCGGCATCCGAGTACGATACCTTCGCCCGCCCAGCCCGAATACCTGTAAGGCACGACATCAGCGGTACGGCTGGCGCTGGCGGCGAGGCGTCTGGGGGCCTGGTGCAGCGCCTTCGGACAATCTCGCCGCTGGTGACGGCGCCAGTACGACCATCAGTACGCCCTACTCTGTTGACGTCGCCGCTGACGCCGCTGCCACTGCCGCAGCGATTTAGCGGCGGTCCGATGGAGGCGGGTGGCTTGTACGGCATTCCTATACGGCGTATGGGTTCAGCCGCCGCCGCCGCCGCTGGTGCAGCCACTGGCAGTGGCGGCTACACGGTAGCGGAGCGTGATTCAGGTGTTTCTGCAGGCGTGGCTTTTCCACAGCAACAACAGCAACAGCAACAAGGAGCAACGTCTGCGGAGGGTGTGGAGGACGCGGCTGCGGCTGCGGCTGCGGAGGAGGAAGAGGAAGAGGAGGTAGCCACGCTCAGGTGGTTGCGGCGGCAAGCGAGCCGTGCCGCAGCGGCAGCCTCCGCTGCAAGCCACGAGCCTGCAGCTGCAGCATTAGGGCCTGTACGGCTAAGCTCAACGTTGCGGTCCGCCGGCGACCCGCCGTCGGAAGCGTCGACGGCGGTGCAGGTGGTGTTCAGGTGGCCGGCGCCGCCGCTACCAGAGGCAGCGGCGGCGGCAGCAACAGCCACCGCAGTAATGGTGACGACTGAGCCGCCGCAGCCGCCGCAGCCGCTACCCCCAGAGGCGCCCGAGGTGCTCACCGCACTCACCGAGCATCAGCGCTTCGCCAAACCTTCTCAACCGCGACACGCGACACGCGACGATGACGCGGATCCGTACTACTACCAGCAGGAACAGCTGCACAGCACTGATCTCGGTGTAGAACCGCAGCCAGAACGGACGCTTCCGCCGCCGCCGCCACCGCCGCCGCCGCCACCGCCGCCGCACCGTCACCTTGCTAGCACAGGTGGCGGCGTCGCCGCCCTGGCGGCCCAGACTCTGCATGATGTAGCTGCGCAGCGGCAACAGGATCCGCCGGCGCCGGGGCTTGCGTCATCAGAGGGGCGCATTTCGCCGACCCAGCAACTGCACGGTGACCCCACTGCCGCCGCCGCCGCTGCAGCGGAGGAGGCCGCCGTATCGTACACATACACCCGCAAGAGAGCATCCTCATTGACAGATATGCCGTACTATCGTCCCGACCGTCGGCTGATTACCTTGGAGCTCGATACCGCGGCCGCGGCGCCCCACAGCGCTGAGAATGTCAGCAGCAGCGCCGGCGGCAGCACTGCTGCTTCAGCTGCAGCGATGGCGACGATGGCGATGATGCCGCCATTACCTTTGTGGCAGAAGCATAGGTTCGTTGCGGAGCCCAGGTTGCCGACATCGCACCAGCAGCAGCAGCAGCAGCAGCCAGCGGCGCCGGCGCCACCGCCGCTTCAGCCACTCCCGGAGGTTTTGGAGCAGCGGCAGGAGCAGCGGCAGGAGCAGGAGCAGGAGCTCATGCATTTGGGCCTGGAACGACACTTAGGCCGCTTAGCGCCGGAATGGGAGTTGGAAGAAGAGCCGATTTCGCAGCAGGAGGAGGAGGAGGAGGAGGCGGTGGAGGCGGAGGCAGCGGATGCGATTGGAGTTGTTGGGGAGGCGCTGGAGGCGCCGGACGTTGCGGAGCAGGTAGAGACTGTGGCGGCAGCGGCGGCAGCGGATGCGGCGATGATGGAGTCAGTGGAGGCTGCGGTAGCGGAGGCAGTGGAGGCGGTGATGGAGGAGGCGGTAGAGGCAATGGAGGCGGCAGCAGAGGAAGCGGTGGAGACTGCTGCGGAGGCGGTTCAGGCGGGGACAGCAGAGGGGGTGAGCACAGAGGCGCTCTACCGTCCGTACGACCAGTCGCCGTGCGGACAAGCGTCACAATCACTGCCATTATCGCTGCCAGAGCAGCAGCTCCAGCAGCAGCCGCAGCAGCAGCAGGAGCTTCATCACCACAACTACCAGCCGCAGCAACAGGAGCGGCGAGAAGAGCTACAGCTGCAGCAGCAAATTGAACCCCTGCTACGCGCAGAACATGAAGAGTACGCCATGAGGCACCGGGCATTGCGACGTCGGCAGCAAGGGCGCGGTCCGGGCGATGAAGCATCTGATGAGGGGGAGGGGAGTGGGGAATGAGCTGTTTGGGAGCTGCATCATTTGGGACGGCCTGAAGCGACCATGGAAATTTAAGCGGCGTCCAGCAGCCATCATATACAGAAACCTACTAAAGTTAGCCACAGATAGAGAAACCCTTCCAGTGGTTTGGCGGTTATCGGGACCACGCTGGGATTACAACGTCCAGCATGAACGTTCTGGCGTCACGTGGTAGCTGTGGTACTCGTGCATAGACTAGGATATAGAGAATTTAGGATTAAAGATTAGCAAATGAATAACGCACGTGAGTTAATATTTTCCAGCCCAAGCCTGGAGGACATTGGATAGATGGTCGCACAACACCACCTTATTTCACACAATTCATCATTCCAGGTGTTGCAATCGGGAATCTACCTGTTTACTGTTGTCTCAGACCACGTTGTCTGAAGAGTCGTAACTGCGGTTACCGACGTAAAGCATGCGAAGACTGCCTGCGACAATGCAGTGCGGACCCCGTAAACTTATGATTTGAGTGACGTATATGAACATGTACTCTTGCGTTGACAGGAAATGATTGAGGCTCATTGCGATAGTTCCGGTCGTATGTGGGGTTCGCTAACGGATAGACACTTGTGAAGTGGGCCTTGCTTTGCAGGTCACAGGCAGCATTCTGCGGCACCTTTGTAATGCATTTCGAGCACGTATGCTAGATATTGAATAAATTGACGACATTCGCGTCCGACTCCCTGTCATTTTCTGTGTCGCTGCCGATGTTGCTGCTGTCATGGCTGTCACTGCCAAAGCAGCGACAATGACCAGTTGCAGAGGCAACATCAGCATCACAAGGTTCTGCAACCTTCCTTCTACCGTCATCTTGGCATGTAAAATAGTGCTGACATAGTGGATTGCGCCACGCGGACTTCTGCAACGCGTCGCCGGTTAGCAGAGTATGGTATATTGGATGTAAATCTTTAATGATGGTGGCCTAAGCGATTAGCTCGCGATTCGTTTCCTGGTAAACCAGCAGGGCATAATAATTTCTATTGAGTGCATGTTCGAATCGACTGCGCAGCGAGTACAAGCCATGACCTATGAGCCGCTGCCCGAATGGTGCTTAACATGAGCCTGACTTACCACAGTAGTACTTGGACATCGTGTTCGAGGATGGACGTCTCATGGCTGGCCAACAACTTGCCAGCAACCACTAACACCAGGACGGGTCAATGAAATCCCAATGCCGCAAAGGATAGCCTCCATGATGACCTGCATCTCGAGACCTCAAATTCATACGGAAGCAGAGCCACCAGTCCACCATTTTTGTAGTATGAAGGAAATGGCTTTGGCGGTAACAGGCTGGCCTGGTCGCCAATGTAGACGTTTACATCAGTCAATATGAATGCAGAGTTGAATATACCGTGAACTTTAATTGTTCGAGTCATCGCTCATCCAGCTAGCAGCTGGAAGCACGGCGCGGTTGCAGGGTGCTGACCCTCAAGTCTACAGCACGATATAAATTCATCTACTAGTCATTAGCAAGTTCATCAAATTACATGATTGCATGACTGCATACGTGTTAAGCCTGGCCTTCGGATAGGTCTATTCGCTTCGCAAAAATTCCATGGACGCTCTGAAATGCACAGGGAAAACAGTATATGGAGTGTATGTCTTTTCAAACGGCATAATCATACGCCGCCTCACTCCGAAATTAGGATGACCTATGCGTATTCGCATTCCGTACGATTATTTGCCTAAGGACTAAGGGGCGAGGGGCAGCATCATGCGGATACGAATTCGTAGAATTCATGATTAGCTTCCTCCTTATGGGACATGGTGAAGCGTGGAGTTAGTGATTTGGTTGAGGTTGTCCATGCGACAGCTTCAGGACTAGTAACCGAAAGCCAACAAGGCAAGGCCAGGACAACTTCAAACATTAAATATCTTTCCCGTTATGTACTTACTAATCTCCTGCAAAAATGAGGGCTCAAATCAAGCTCACGGCAAGCGAGCATACATCTAGCCCGACTTCGTCGTTAACATCTAGCCACCTGCAAGCTTGCGGCAAACAAGGTGCGCATCCATTTAGCACTACGTAGGTTGAGGCGCATGGATACATACTATGTAAATTAAGAAGTCCCTGGCCTGTCAAAGAACGCGTGAGGTGATGTCGATGCGTGCTGCGCGATGCGTGTTCCGCAGCTCTCTGCACTGTCAATCCCCCATTTGCATTTATTATCGACATGGTAGAAGATGGTGTCTACGTCACAATGGTAGCCCCGAGACAGCGCACCTACGGGCAACCGCCCAGAGTACTGCAGTATATTGCAGTGCAGTACTATACCTGCACAACATACCCTGCTGGCAAGCTTGGGCCAACGGGAGCACACGCACGGAAATCCTAACAGCCACAACCGCGTTATTCGCTACATCTTAGCTGCAGCTGAGTCAGCTTGTATATTCCCCCCGCTAGTGGGTTCTTATGACAACTTCTTATCGTACATCAAACGACGGCACCCGGGGTTTGTCAATTTTCGGCACACATTTCGGCAGGTTGTGCTTTTACCCTACATCCAAGGATGGCCATTTAAGGGAATTTCCGGTTCGGGGGGCACTGGGCCATAGTTAGCGCGAGGCGGCCGCGGCGTGTGGTGGAGAGGGCTGCGTGTGGTGTGCTCTGTAGGCGGCAAAGCCGCCATGGAGAGATGGACGTGCTGCTGCTGCTGCTGCTGCTGCTCCTGCTGCGGGCAATTTAGTGACGTACTGACATGGGACACAACGACGACTCTTAAGCGAAATAATACTTTTACGTGACAATGCCGTAAGCAAAGCGCATATGCTTAGCTTTGTTTTTAAGCATATGCCTTGCTTTTCCGCATATGCTTTGCTTTGCTTCATATGCCTTGCTTTGCTTCATATGCCTTGCTTTTCCGCATATGCTTTGCTTTGCTTTGCTTTGGGGGGGTGAACCTGGTCGGCAGTCCAACACGCGGTGGAGTCGCTTCGAGCTGTGTCCCCGCGGGAGGGGCGCCGGTCACACATCTACACAGCTCCAGATCCCCTGGCCTGCCATGAATTGTGTCGTAACACAGCTATAACTAACTATAACTAACCAAGGCTTATAACACAGCTATAACTAACTATAACTAACCATGGCAGAGAGCGGACAACGCAGCAGATGCGCCCGTCCACGAAACACAGCTAGGAAAGACAGACCTCAGACTGTGAGAACATCACGGCTAGAGGAACTCGTGCCGTACAACAGTGCCGTACAATCCTTCCACTGTAAAGCTTAGTCTGCGAACCACGACTGCCATCTCTCCCTACCCTCCTACGTCACTTTTAAAGTAAAAGGTGACGAGCTGTCTCATCTCTATAGCCAGTGAGTGCCGGCATAAAGTCGCTGCCGCCTGTACCCGTTGTCTCACGTCGGGCCCATTTTGCAATGTACGAATATGCAAACGCTCGGTGCTGGCTCCGAAACCGCTCCATCTCCTCAATTGCCGCATTGTAAGCTTCACGCAGCTCCCAGCCGCTGACGCTTCCGCCGCCGCTTCCGCCGCAGGTGCCCGATGCCTTGGTGTGTGAGGCGCGCTGCTGGACGTAGGAACGTACGTTGGCGGCGCCGTCGTTGGCGGCGGCGAGGCGGCGCAGGAAGGCCCTGTGCGCGGGCGGCATGTGCAGCACCATGGTGTCCAAATAGTCCCGGAGCCACACCTGAAGATGTAGGTGTAGGTGATGTAGATGATGTAGGTGATGTAGGTGATGTAGATGATGTAGGTGATGTAGGTGATGTACATGATGTAGGTGATGTAGGTGATGTAGATGATGTAGGTGGAAGGGAGGGAGGGAGGAAAGAGGGCAGGAGGGCCGCGGTATCGGCGCTGTAAAGCAAATACAGCTACAGCTACAGCTACAGCTACAGCCCCCAGGAGAGCAACCCGCGGTGCTCTGTCCTCGTACCCCCCCCCCAAGCAGTACGAGAGACTGCGCTCCCGTCTCGCTGGACTGGAACAAATGGCGGCATGATGATGCAGATGCAGATGATGATGATGATGACCATAATGGCGAAGAGGTGCATATCCCGCACAGCACCTCTTACTATCTCGCTCGCTCTCGTCGTACATTCCCGTCCTACGTGGCCGTGGTGTAAACCCTGCCGTACAGTTCAGTATTACGCCTGCCTGCCGTACCTGTTCGTGCTTGACCCCCAGCACCGCATCAAAGGCATGCAGCACGCTCGACTGCGCTCCCGTCTCGCCGTATAGCTATCGCCGAGCAACAAAGGTGATGCATGCCGGACAGAGTGTTGACACCGCCGACGAGGACCCCCCCAATGAATGATGACGATGATGATGATGATGATGATGATGATGATGATGATGATGATGATGATGATGATGATGATGATGATGATGATGATGATGATGATGATGATGATGATGATGATGATGATGATGATGATGATGATGATGATGATGATGATGATGATGATGATGATGATGATGATGATGATGATGATGATGATGATGATGATGATGATGATGATGATGATGATGATGATGATGATGATGATGATGATGATGATGATGATGATGATGATGATGATGATGATGATGATGATGATGATGATGATGATGATGATGATGATGATGATGATGATGATGATGATGATGATGATGATGATGATGATGATGATGGGAATGATGGTGATTACGACAACGCAGCCCGGACCCGGGAGGGACTGGTTTATTTGGGAGGAACAGGATGAAACCCTTCTGGAGTGCAGGGCCCCGCTCTCTCTCTCTCTGTCTGTCTGTCTGTCTGTCTGTCTGTCTGTCTGTCTGTCTGTGTGTGTGTGTGTGTGTGTGCGTGCGTGTGTCTGTGCGTCTCATAAAACACACGACACACGTGCACATGCAAATGGATGCGAGAACTGTCCGGGAATTAGGGGTGAAGCCACAACATGTCAGTTCAACATGTCAACTCAAGATGTCAACTCAAGACAGGAAGTCAAGACACAGAGAATCTTTTTTATTTTTTCACCTCACTTCACCTCACGTTATCTCATCAAGGAAAAGTTAACAAAGCTAACTCTTTCCTATTTCATGAAAAGCAGTTGCGAACACCCGCCAAGGGCCTCATCGCGTTGCCGTACCATACCCAACAACTAGTAGTAGCAGCACCATGCATTAGCTTTTCGTACAACAGCAGGCCCTAAAAGCCATCCATACGACGCATGCCGTACCATGCCGTATCGAATATTTCGTACCTGAATGGGTTGCGAGCTGACCCCCTCATACATAAGACCCTGCCGCGTAGGTTGGGGACCGCGGACAAGGGGGGGGGGGGAAAGAGGGGAAGGGGGGGGGGGGAAAGAGGGGAAGGTAAAGCACCGGAGGGTAGCTCAGGTGGCCAAAATGAAGTAGGGGGCCCCGAAAATGGTGTGCGGGGAAATTAATGACTCAAGATGCATGGCCCGACGAAATCCATACTTCCCACGCGCCACCCCCGGCCAGCTGCGTATATATACAAGTTACAAGTTACAAGTTACAAGTTACAAGTTCCGCACACAAGTGCGGGTGTGTCCGTAAAAGCCGGGGGGGCCATGGACGTTGTATTGGTATTGATGCGGGTACGCGGGAGGTCATCTTCATTCTCCCTCGTCCGCTTCAGGGCGAAGCGCCTCAGCGCGACGTGCCTGGCCTCCCAGATTTCCGAGAGGTACCTGGCCAATGCCAGGGGTGGCGCCTCAGTCATAGTGGTGCGCATGCTGCGCCCCGTAAGGACTAGGTCACCATCATACTTAGCCCGTATGCTCTTGTAAGCGGGACATTCTTCGAAAACATGCAACTCATCTTCAACCGCTCCACAGTCACAAAGCCTGCAGGTACGCGCGGTGCGCTCACGCCCATTAGGTCTATTAACCTCTAACTCCCAACAGCCTAACCGAAAACGCATGAGCACATGATGAAGTCGCTGGGGCATGGTCCCTTTAGTGTGCTCCAGCCAATCAAGACGCGCACCCCTTGACGGGGCAGCTCCCATCCAGTTCATATAGCGACACGCCTTGGCTCCGGTAATTCCTATGGGGAAGACGCGGGGG